AAAAAAAAAAAAAAACACTCAAAATTGCATATCACACACCGTTCTCCAATATCTCAGGGTCGAGACATGAAGACAAAATGGCGTACATTTTGAGCTTTTTAACCTTGTTGGTCATAAACATATGTAGGGGACAATTGGAGAATTTTAATTTTAGGCCCTGTGAGAATGGGATAACCAAAAAAAAAGAGAGAGTTTGAGAGTGGGTGCTTCAACTAGGCCCAGGAACATGAATTTCTCCTATAAGCTACAACAATCATCAAGACCACTAAAATGATGTTATTTACCTTTGTAGTACTCCTAGATGCAAAGAACCACTACTAGGCTACAAGGTCCAAAGAAAAAAAAACACAGCTAACCTACAAGTCTGTAACACTAGGGCTACATCTCGGGCTTGTACAACATCATTAGGGAACAACCATCAATGTGAAAAGGGAACTGCAGATGACAGACACAACACACATCTACAGATGATGTCAGATTATATATATTGGTGCAAGTTTTGTCTCTTTGGAAAAATAACCTCAAAAATAATTGATTTGATGGGTTCTATAGGGCTTAGTATCTCATATTAGATTCAATCTTTCGACAATCATCTGCAACACAATAATAGTGTTTGAGATGCAAGTTCACGTGGTATACCCCTTTAAGGGCCATGTATCACTAAATAGAAGCTTCCACGTGGCACACTACAGTCAAAATCACTTTTCATAAGTTTTCTTCTTCTTTTTTTTTTTTTTTTTTTTTTGATGAATATCAGAAGTTTTCTTCTTCACACCACTTTTGAGAACTTAAACTTAATACGTAATCCTTTACCCATAGTTATACTTGAGGAAATGTGCTAGGAAATTCTGATAAAAGTTGAATTACGTGTCATCACCAGCTTGGGTACAGTAAACATGCCATACCATAAAGAAGCGCAGGGCTTGTGGCCTATGCATGCACATTTTAATGTGGAAGGTTCGCACAAAGCAAGTGTCTGTCTACTAATTTCCCAAATCCTAACTACATTTTTTTTTCTTTCTACCATACCCAATCCAAATAAACTTATTTGTATTGGTTTAAACAGCTTTCAAGTGGGTATGTTCTTGGATTGATCACCAGATGGTGTTTTGCATTTTAGGAGTTCTCTTCAGTCATGTATTACTTTGTCACTCAGAGATTTTGATTGCTATTGATTCCTGGAATCCTTTTGGTCAAGTTGCAACCTCATTTTCTGGCAGAAAAAACCTTATGAATGAGGAAGTTTTTACTGAGTGTGCCACTTGATTTCAAAGACAACTAGCCAGATGTGGTTGTCTATGAGGTCACCAACGACGGTGCTCAGAGGTGGGGGTGGCTGCAGGTGGTGACTGGTGGTTGTAATGAGAGGTGGGTGGAGCCCAAAGGGGCCAACTTTTTTGTGGTTACAAGAATTTAGTAATTTTTGTGAACTATTTACAAGTTTTAGAAAACAAAAATAGACATCAAATGAGTTTTTGTTTACAATTTTCAAAAATTTTGTAAATTTAAACAAAAAAAACTACAAACATAAACGTTACCAAATACAAATAAAACTCCTAATTAAACTATATTTAAAAATGAATAAATATAAATAGTATTTGAATCCCATACTAAAATTACATGGGTCCATCTTGCCATCTTACTATGACATAACTATTTAAGATTTAAGGTTATTTTTAATTGTTGGATTAAGTTGAATATGATAAGTATAATGAGATGGAGTCATATTATTTCACAGGATAAAATTAGGTTAGAAATATCAGATAAACTATGTACTTAGGATATGCCAAAATTAGTGTGCACACATTCCCCATCAACAAGGCTGCAAGCATTAAAGTTAAACGTCACAACGCAGTCTTCATGATCCTCATATTCACAAGTTGAATATCATTTAGGCCACAGTCACTTGATCAGAAGTAGCATCCATTTCATATCGAACTTATTCTATAAGGGGAATTTGACCTATGGGTTTTCCATGTATTTTAACTCTATTTCAGGTCATGAACAAACAATTCAAAACAAGACTTAAACGTTGGGATGGACATTGAATTCCCCATCCTATATCCCACTAAAACTACCTCTTCGTTTTGTTGCCTTGCTCAAATAGGTCCAGGGTCAGGAAGGCAAAGAGATCCCACCACAGACCAAAACAAAAGATTTGAAGTTTCTGTACTCATCTTAACCTCCTTAACTAGCGAATTGGTTTTCTCTAATCAACATTCATAGCAATAAGTACCAGAGATCATTACCAACACAAATGTCATTGGAATGCTCACCTTTCTCAGAAGGATCTTTGGACAATCCCTCTCTTGAGAGTATCTCCTCTAGCTCTTTTACTACAAAGGCCTCATACTAGAAAAATTTATAATTTAGTATATTTTTAAAAAATAATAACAAATTTATTACCAAAATTATGATTTTAATTATTAATGTTTGTAAAGTTTAGCATTGATCTGTAATTATTTTTTTTTAAATACATTAATATATAATTTTCCCAACATATTATTGCCAACAGTGTTGGGGGCATTGTAGTTTGTGGGAATAGTTTTTCATAATGGGTGTTCTAAGTACAGTACCCATGCATAGGTATTGTGCAAAGCTAAGTTATACTATTTTGCTTTCCTTTTTTTTGTGTATATAAAGGGGCCACCTATTTCTTATTTTAAATGTACCCAATTCACAACTCTACTTTGTGTTTGGAGAGGAAGAAAAGGAGAGGAAAATGGGAGGCCAAAAGCCAAGGATGTTGAGCCTCATATTCACAAAGCTAAAACCTTACTTGGCTATGATCACCCTGCAGTTTGGATATGCAGGCATGTTCATCATCACCTTGGTTTCTTTGAAGCGTGGAATGAGTGAGCAATTTTGTACTCATAGTGTATCGTCATGCTGTTGCCACTCTCGTTATTGCTCCATTCGCACTTGTTCTTGAAAGGGCATCTTTTAATTATTATCTCTTCTGCTAATAACGCAGAAACTTATCATAGAATCGAATTCAGAATACAAATAGACAAAAAATTTACAAAGTTTATTATTGTAAATCCGATTTTGTGACCTATTTATGTATTCGTAAATTTATTCATATATATATATAGTTCGTTATTGATGTCTTAACTGAAACACATCATTTGTGTTCTTGTTTGCAGGAAAATATGGCCTAAGATGACTCTCTCTGTCTTCCTTAAAATAATGGCACTTGGTTTACTAGAGTAATGCTCTAAACACCTTTTACATATGAGGATGTTAGAATGTATGGACTTTCATGTGTATAAAATTTAGGAAAATAATATGAAAAATATTACATATAATTATATTTCTTGCTTTATTTCAATCCTAAACACAAGTGAGTAGGTTCATGTGCATTTTATGATGCTTGTTGCTCTTCCTCTCCTTTATTTGATGTAATCTCCTTTCTTGTTCAGTTTTTTTATCAATAAAGATTTTTTTTGCTGATAAAAAAAAAAGTACTCAAATGTTGTGTTATCAACACTAGTTTATTTTGGATGTGATTCACACTTCATAATAAATGCAGTCTAAACACTTTTTTGTGAAATTGTTTTGAGTTTATAGAGTGGTCACCACGCGTGTTTTTTTTTTTTTTTTTTTTTTCCGCATGTTATCACTTCATGCTCATATTTTTTTTTCCCCTCAATGAATCTTTTATTTTAACTTCTCTTGCGTCATGGAAAAAAATATATATTCTTTCACAGGGTGTGATTTCCTATTATATTTCAGTAATAAAAAAAAAATTAAAAAACACTTTTATTCTTCTAAGTTTGATTGGCTAATGTTTTATTTTTATTTTATTGGGGATGAATAGACCAGTGATTGATCAGAACTTATCCTACTTGGGACTGAAGTACACATCAGCAACATTTGGATCTGCAGTTGTTAATGCCCTCCCTGCCCTTACCTTTATCATGGCAATTATTTTCAGGTAAACTTTCATTATTATAGGAAAATTATAAATCAGTAGGATACTGAAAAAATAATGAAATTTTTTCTGGTACAATTCTGACACCCAAGGAGTTGCACCAGATACAAAAAAGACTTGCTACATGCACATTCAGGATATTTACACCACATAAAAATATAAATATTTTTTCACTATCCAACTGATTTGTAATTTTTCCAATCTATATTTTTCACATGTCACCACCAATTAAAAGGTGGAAAGCAGTGTGTCCTGCCTAATCATCATCAACTTCATCATTATTACACATATTGGTGCTGCTGATATGATCAGATTACAAAGTTAATTTGAGAGAAAATAACCTTAAAAAATAATATAAAAAAAAAAAAATTGAGACATGACCAAGCTTTGTGCTAATGGTCTGCCTTCAATCCATCGGGTTAGTGTTCAATGTGGGAGAAATTGTGGGCCTGAGGCCTACAACCCGCCTCACAATTGGACTCTAGTTCAGTGAAGTGAAATTGTAACCTTAATAATAAATTAGATAGTCTAACCTCGCACTTCATTAGAAATCAACAATTTAAGTCTCCTCATATGCAAAATTCTCCACTCCTAAACAATAGATTAAAAAATAAAAATAATGCGATGTCTAATTTGAACCTTTGAATAGAACTTTTATGGGCAATAAAAATAAAATTGATACAATTAAAATTAAAATGACCAGATTGATGCAAGAAATAAACTACAAAAATTTGGAGTTTATTTAACATGAACAGTATACAGAGTATAGATTGGTGTTTTTGGAAAATTGGTTAAAAGCTAGTTTTTTTTTTTTTTTTTTAGTGTGTAAAAAATGTAAGAGGTGATATAACCCAAAATGAGTTAAAAGCCAATAGCTGGCTACCAGCTTTTGAAATGAGCCCTTAAGGGAAGGTTTGAGTTTTTGTACATTTACCAAATCTTTATCTTCATCAATGCTGTATATTATTATATTGATATTATGGATATATACATATATGTATTTCTTTTACCTGATGATGAATAGGTTGGAGAAAGTGAATTTAAAGAAGATACAAAGTGTGGCAAAGGTGATTGGAACAGTGATCACAGTAACAGGAGTATTAGTGATGACTTTGTATAAAGGCCCTATTATTGATATCTTATGGCACTCTAAATCAAGAAATCCCCACCATAACACCACCAATAGTACCTCTGCTGATCAGCATTGGGTCATGGGGACAATCATGATCCTTGGCTGCACTTGTGGTTGGTCTGCCTTCTTCATTTTGCAAGTAAGCCCCCTCCTCGACATTATTTACACACAAAAAAAATAGGTTTTGAATGTTTTGTGTATAGTTTGTTACGAACACAGAAATCAAACGTACAATTAAACACAGAGTACAGATGAATGGATACAAATAATTATTTCATCCTTTTTTGTTCTCAGTCGATTACATTGAAGCAATATCCGGCAGAGCTGTCTCTGGCGGCATTAATATGCTTGATGGGCACGGTACAAGGTGCAGCCGTGGCACTTGCTGTGGAACGCGACATGAGTGCCTGGGTGGTCGGTTTTGATTCAAGGCTGCTTGCTGCAGTTTATTCTGTAAGTGTTGAATTGTAGCTTAAAATTATGATAAAAATGTTGTAGTTATCAAATAATACAATTGCTAGATAATTGTACAGTTTGATCTGGAGATCATTTTCGTTCTAAGAGTTCGGTTTCATATGTGTTCAGTTCTTAACAAGTTGACAAGGATTTTCTTGGTAAAAATTTGCCACAATCAATCAATTATGAACCGGTCTATTAATTGTAGTTTTTTAAAAAAGAAATTCAATTAATTGGGTGTTTTTTATTTGTTTTATTTTCGTATCAATGAAAAAGAGATTTTATTGTTGCAAAAAATGGTTAAAAGAAAAAATTTAAGTGAAAAATGAACTTGATGATGAACAGGGGGTAGTTTGCTCTGGAATTGCATATTATTTGCAAGGAGTTGTAAACAAGGTCCGAGGCCCGGTGTTCGTCACGGCATTCAGCCCTCTCTGCATGATCATCACCGCTGTTCTTGGCGCCATCGTCTTGGCCGAAAAAATCCACCTTGGCAGGTACATTATGCCCCTCTTCCTGGCTTTAGATTCTCCGTCTCAATCTTTTATGTTCTTTCTAGTGTTAGTCAAGTCGTCATAATTTGAATTCAATTTAATTTATTCTTTAAATTGCTATGAGACTTTTAGGTTTTAATAATTGCATAATTAATTTTGGATTCAAATTATGGTGACGTGAACGCGCATAAGGGATTGGGATAAAGAATGAAAACCCAAACTATACTCACATTATTTAGAAGGGAAAAATATGGAGGTAAATCATTCAAGTAACAAATTAAGTAACTCTAATAGTGGTAGTCACATGAATGGATCAAATTTATCAGTGAAAAGAAGAAAAAAAAAGAAGAGGGATGACAAGTATATAATTTCGATAATAAAAACTTATGTTTTTAAGACAAATATGATCAAACTATATGACAACTAACATTAAATAACTTAATTTTTTAAATGAATGATTTACTTGACCAGTATTATAAGATGAATGGTTCAAATAAACAACATAAATCTAAAGTAGACCTAAAGTCCTCTCAACTAGACCCTCCAATTATGGAGGAATGGTTTTCCATTTAGAAATTAGGTAATCTTATTAAAAAAATAAAAAATCTTACTAAAAAAATTTGTAAAGATTGAAACATGTTTTGCTGAAGACTGTAACTTATTGTTAAGGCAATGAATTGACAATGTTGTTTGGTTGCTTGTTTTGTTGTGATGTCAGTTTAATTGGAGCAGTCATAATAGTTTTTGGACTATACTCAGTGGTGTGGGGTAAAACTAAAGACCCTTTAAGCTCAGAAACAACATTAACAACAACTGAGAAAGACAAAGCCTATGCATTGCCAGTAGTTGATGCTAATAGATCAACCATTGTTGATGATACAAATGATTGTGAACTTTCTGGCAATAAGTTGAAGATTCCAGGAAAAACTCCTCTATCCCAAGAGCCATGAATGATTCAGAATATTGCACAAATGAGAATCTCTCTCTCTCTCTCTAAATAATGCACCTCTTATCTTTTTCATGTACTTCGAGATTCCAAATGTGGCTTATATTCAATCAATATTATTATGAATTTTGTCAATAAACTTTTTTTTTTATTATTGCTTGCATCTGGCTACAAATCTATATGTTCCAACGTATCAAATTTTGAGAATGTCGATTGTAAGTGTTTTGGAATAAAGGGATAGAAATATATAAACACAGAGAATCTTTTGTCACTTGTCATTTCTATTGTGCAACAAAAGTATATGTTTTTTATCACGTTGGTCTTTCAAGTCATAATTTTGTTAATTTATTCCCAAGATTTTCAATTTAAGTTAAAATATTCCAATTCTAAATAGACTGTCTAATACAATACATTGTATATTTCTTCGATTGTCCATAAAAAAACTTGTTTGGAGAATAAATAAACTGTAAATTATGGGATACTTATATTTCAAAAAATAAATAAAAAGATAATGGGAAGTACAGAACAAAGCTTATTGTACAAATCTTGTATAAAAAGGAGCTCTCTCCCACTAGTTTAACAATTGGACAAAATGCTATTTTAAAAACATGTGAAAAAATATATGAAGAATTTAATTATTTTGATTTTGTCGACATGTTTAATGATATCTATGTGGATTGTTGTTTAATGATATCTATGTGGATTGTTGTCAGCACAATGTTTAATAATGGTGGAATTACACGCGTAGTGCAACTCATTCTATAATGGGATGCAAGTCAAAATATTTGTGATATTTTTTTCCCAACCTTCACTGAACAATGATTTTCCCTTTAATAATTTAGGTTTGATTGGCTTTTTGTCCGATTGTGGATTGGCATATTATTTAGATAATAGTTAATTTTTGGATTAATTTGGTTTATGAATGACATAGCTTGGCTTTCGGTATCAAACTGAACCAATCCAACCTACTTACACATAAAAGATATGCACAAAAAATGTGTAAAAAAATTATACCAAAAAAAAATGCAATGTATGCTATGAATTGAAATTTAGTGTCGTGTTAGTCAACATTTAAAATAAATATGAAAGCCACACATTTCATTATGCCTCCGTTTGGGAAGTGGGTTGGCTTTTTGGCTTTTTGATTTTTTTGGCTATTTTAGCCTGGGCTAAAAAGCTTGGTTTGGGAAGAACTTTTTGACTTTTTGACTTTTTTGACTTTTTTTGTGAGAGAAGAGTGTAATGATTATGGGTTGGATGTGATGTTTTGTTTGTTGTGGCTAAAATAGCCTATTTTGTCTTTTGTGGCTATTTTAGCCCAATCTTGCTTGCCAAACGAACCCTATATGTGCATTTTTTTGTGTACTTTTTATGTGTTTGTATGTATACTAAAGTCCTCACACAACAAAATGCTGTTGACACTTAATTAGGATGGTGAGAAACCAAAGGAATAAAACAAAAGTATAAATCAAGTACACAAGAGCACAAAGATTTACACAGTTCATCCCATAAATGAGATACGTCTATCGTCATTGTTATTTCATTATAATTTGAAAAGAGTTACAAAACAACATAGAGGGGCAACGTTTCAACAATAAATACATAATATTAAAACACAATATAATTGTAAAATACCAAAATTCCCTTACTCTAAAAATTCAAATCAAGTGACTAATCAAGATCAACACTACCCAGGATTCTTGGGACTACCACTGGGTAAAGGGCCTAGTCGATTGAAAGAAACATTGTCCCCTGTTATAAGAATCAAATAGTGGTCCAACTTGTACATTTTGTAGGGGTGTCTAGGTTGTGTATACATGGGTTTTTCCACTTCTCTTTTTTCTTTTTCTTTTTGGGTTGTCCTAAAGTAGACCTAAAGTCCTCTCAACTAGACCCTCCAATTATGGAGGAATGGTTTTCCATTTAGAAATTAGGTAATCTTATTAAAAAAATAAAAAATCTTACTAAAAAAATTTGTAAAGATTGAAACATGTTTTGCTGAAGACTGTAACTTATTGTTAAGGCAGTGAATTGACAATGTTGTTTGGTTGCTTGTTTTGTTGTGATGTCAGTTTAATTGGAGCAGTCATAATAGTTTTTGGACTATACTCAGTGGTGTGGGGTAAAACTAAAGACCCTTTAAGCTCAGAAACAACATTAACAACAACTGAGAAAGACAAAGCCTATGCATTGCCAGTAGTTGATGCTAATAGATCAACCATTGTTGATGATACAAATGATTGTGAACTTTCTGGCAATAAGTTGAAGATTCCAGGAAAAACTCCTCTATCCCAAGAGCCATGAATGATTCAGAATATTGCACAAACGAGAATCTCTCTCTCTCTCTCTAAATAATGCACCTCTTATCTTTTTCATGTACTTCGAGATTCCAAATGTGGCTTATATTCAATCAATATTATTATGAATTTTGTCAATAAACTTTTTTTTTTATTATTGCATGCATCTGGCTACAAATCTATATGTTCCAACGTATCAAATTTTGAGAATGTCGCACTTTCGATTGTAAGTGTTTTGGAATAAAGGGATAGAAATATATAAAAACAGACAATCTTTTGTCACTTGTCATTTCTATTGTGCAACAAAAGTATATGTTTTTTATCACGTTGGTCTTTCAAGTCATAATTTTTTTAATTTATTCCCGAGATTTTCAATTTAAGTTAAAATATTCCAATTCTAAATAGACTGTCTAATACAATACATTGTATATTTCTTCGATTGTCCATAAAAAAAGCTTGTTTGGAGAATAAATAAACTGTAAATTATGGGGTAATTATATTTCAAAAAATAAATAAAAAGATAATGGAAAGTATAGAACAAAGCTTATTGAACAAATCTTGTATAAAAAGGAGCTCTCTCCCACTAGTTTAACAATTGGACAAAATGCTGTTTTAAAAACATGTGAAAAAATATATGAAGATTTTAATTATTTTGATTTTGTCGACATGTTTAATGATATCTATGTGGATTGTTGTCAGCACGATGTTTAATAATGGTGGAATTACACGCGTAGTGCAACTCATTCTATAATGGGATGCAAGTCAAAATATTTGTGATAATTTTTTCCCAACCTTCACTGAACAATGATTTCCCCTTTAATAATTTAGGTTTGATTGGCTTTTTGTCCGATTGTGGATTGGCATATTATTTAGATAATAGTTAATTTTTGGATTAATTTGGCTTATGAATGACATAGCTTGGCTTTCGGTATCAAACTGAACCAATCCAACCTACTTACACACAAAAGATATGCACAAAAAATGTGTAAAAAAATTATACCAAAAAAAAATGCAATGTATGCTATGAATTGAAATTTAGTGTCGTGTTAGTCAACATTTAAAATAAATATGAAAGCCACACATTTCATTATATGTGCATTTTTTTGTGTACATTTTATGTGTTTGTATGTATACTAAGTCCTCACACAACAAAATGCTGTTGACACTTATGCTGTGTTTGGTTAGAAGATTTGGGGAGGGATTTGGAAAGGAAAAAGGAAAAGGTGTGTGAAACTATGTGAAATATAGGCATGATTTATTCACATTTCACCTACCTTTTCCATTTCCCTTTCCAAATCCCTCCCTAAATCCCCCAACCAAACACAACATTAATTAGGATGGTGAGAAACCAAAGGAATAAAACAAAAGTATAAATCAAGTACACAAGAACACAAAGATTTACACAGTTCATCCCTAGAGGGGCAACATTTCAACAATAAATACATAATATTAAAACACAATATAATTGTAAAATACCAAAATTCCCTTACTCTAAAAATTCAAATCAAGTGACTAATCAAGATCAACACTACCCAGGATTCTTGGGACTACCACTGGGTAAAGGGCCTAGTCGATTGAAAGAAACATTGTCCCCTGTTATAAGAATCAAATAGTGGTCCAACTTGTACATTTTGTAGGGGTGTCTAGGTTGTGTATACATGGGTTTTTCCACTTCTCTTTTTTCTTTTTCTTTTTGGGTTGTGCACACGTACAGTCCACCCCCCCCCCCCTAATTAAAATTTTAATTTTTTTTTTACGGTCGAAGAAGACAAAAATCTGGTCAATCATTTCCCTGTTTTTGAGATTTTGCTGTCAATCATCAGTCTAAGACAAAATAAATGAAAATAACAAAGTTTGCTTAGTGTTGTGGGAGAATGGGTGGTGAGGAGCCATCTGGAAAGATGGTTAGGATGGGGATGTGAGAGTTGAGACAACTTTAAGAGAGGAGTCAGTTCAGCAGAACTCAGTTCCACTAAGCTTACGGACAGGTGGCTCAACCCACTTAGTTGGACACTTCAGAAGTTTCTCAAGCCGTGTCCCCTCCTGAATTACAACGACTCAAATCAAACCCAAAGGCACAAAGATCTGAGACCAACTGGGGAAGAATATATACATATACATACAAATACATATGCACATATATGAGGATAAGGGGAAAGAAAAATAAAAGGAAAATGACTAATCCATCCAATGGAAGATTATGCATTTAAGAAAGTTTTCATTGATGCACATTAAAAGGCATAACCAATCCCCACTGTTTGATATATACCACTGTAATTTTTATTTAAAAACAAAAACAAAAACAAAAGCACAAACACAAACACAAACACAAACAAAAACAAAAACTACTCAAGAGTATCCACATTTCTTAGTCACATCATCACATATATAATATAACCAAACAGAGATAATTGTGCCTACAGACTCCAACTGATTACTGACACTAGTTTTTTGAGTCCTAAACTGAATAGATTAAAACCCTAGTAGGTAAAGCTGAGAGTATGATACTATCACATACCACCAATCCCCACTCATTTAAGGAAAAATAATAAAAAAACCGCCCGCATGCGCGAGAACACAATTACACAAAGTACATAATTGTACCTAGCGGAGGCCTCTTTTTACAGTCATCTGTCAAAACAGATTCTGCAAATTTAATCGCTGTCCTCGTCATCATCTGCAAATAAATGGGAAAACGTCATCTTTTGTTTTTTTTTTTTTTTTTTTTTGGTCTGAAATAGTAGCTAAAATCATGCATCCTGAGGAATAATCAAACCAAGAGCACACACAACATATTGCAGTGAACCCAAACAAATGTACCAGTGAACTGAGAGAATAAGGAAAGATGATGTAAATATCACACATAAATAAATAACTTCATCCGTGATTTCTAAAAGAGTACATAATGATCTGCAATAGGAAATTATGTGAACTGCTTTTTCACCAATTATTGTTTTCAATAACTTAGAGAGGACATACATTCAACCTAAAAAAATTGCATGCACTGAAATGCTAAGGAAAACAAATTCAACCATTTGATTCCCAATGGAAGCCAAGCACCCTATAAAGACTGGGATACTCTTATTGTGTCCATATGGTGTGATGGCCTGTTTGGTGTAGCCTTTCTCAAGCTGACAATCAGTTTTTTTCAACTTATTTATGTTATTTTAGTCTCATAAGCAAGTAAACAGAAGATACATCAAATACTAGAGCTGTTTGGTTATATGAGCTGCTTATAGCTTTTTTATTAGGGAAGTCTATACCAGACTATTTGGTACAACTTCTACTTACACCTTATTAAGCAGCAAAAATAGCTTAAATAAGTTGGAAAAAAAACTGATTATCTAGAAGCTGGGAGCTGAGTGAGGGTTGCTTTTGGCATCAGTTTTCTAATTAGCAGCTTACAATAAGCTGCACCAAGCATACTCACTTTGGTATACATTTCCAAAATATACATAAACAAATAAAATAAAAAGAATGAAAGAAACTATACGCTGCAACAAACAAGATCAATGTATGGTTACCAATGTCCAAGATAACTTGGTTTGTATTTTTACCTTCGTTCAACTCTTCGCTCTGGCTGTCATCACCATCTTCAACATCATCAGCATCATCTTCATCACTACTGCTATCAGTATCTTCTGCATCATTGCCTTCAGTTTCAACAGGTATTTTGGGTTTTGGAGGAGGTACAAAACTAGTTGTAGACCTTCTGCGTGTACTTGAGACAATGTTGCTCATGTCAATGCCTTCAAGTTCTTTTGCTCTGTCCTTTCTCTTTTTGACTTCTTTGATTTCTGAGTATAAAAATCACACGGCATCACTCATTATGTAACATGAAAAGAATCAGATTGGATTAGACCCTAAAACTGAATCAGCGATTCTAGGATGAGAAGTAATTCAAGTGGCACATGGTCAACTATCAAACTATTACTCAATAAAAAATAATAACCCAATCTAAATTACTCAAGTTCAAGGCAAGAGTGCATAATCAAGAAGAGAAGACATCACGGAATTCTAATTTAATAACTATCATTATTTACAAGAAATATGAAAAGAAAAAGGAAAAAATAAAGAATTTTTAGCTTCTGCAAATTTCAAATCCTCTCTAGTTTTCAATTCTTTTTCAGAAGAACATTGTGCATTCTATTTGAAACAAAATAGGTTGTCCATCATACATACTCATGTGAATGACTTTTTCGTCTATAAAAGAAAATGTCCTTAATTAAAAGAAGGTTGTATAGGAGTGAGCTACAATGCGGAATCGGGCTTATTACCTAGTTTACCCAAGTCAATTTTTTATGGTTTTATGATCAGTCTCATCTAAGTTAATGGCCTGCTTCACACACTGATGCTCAAACTCGAAAACAGACCTTGATTTACTATTCATAGAATCGTATGCGCAATCTTTTGGGTCAGGAATATAAATCCTAATTTCTCATTCCTCTCAATATAATGTATCTTCATAAAACAAAGAATCTCTTCCATGTCAAAAACTTCCAAGTCGCGTGAATTAGTTTCTCATCAATGCTATTATGGACGTGTAAAAAATTCATGGTCTGGATTCTAACAAATAACAAGCTTTGGTTATCATAAAAAAAAAACAAGGGACTCCTAGGATTCACCCCAAGTCCACTCAATAATCAAATTGTTCACTATGTTTTTCACATCGATCCTCATATTCACAAGTTGAATATCATTTAGGCCACAGTCACTTGATCAGAAGTAGCATCCATTTCATATCGAACTTATTCTATAAGGGGAATTTGACCTATGGGTTTTCCATGTATTTTAACTCTATTTCAGGTCATGAACAAACAATTCAAAACAAGACTTAAACGTTGGGATGGACATTGAATTCCCCATCCTATATCCCACTAAAACTACCGCTTCGTTTTGTTGCCTTGCTCAAATAGGTCCAGGGTCAGGAAGGCAAAGAGATCCCACCACAGACCAAAACAAAAGATTTGAAGTTTCTGTACTCATCTTAACCTCCTTAACTAGCGAATTGGTTTTCTCTAATCAACATTCATAGCAATAAGTACCAGAGATCATTACCAACACAAATGTCATTGGAATGCTCACCTTTCTCAGAAGGATCTTTGGACAATCCCTCTCTTGAGAGTATCTCCTCTAGCTCTTTTACTACAAAGGCCTCGCGTTTATTCTCAGATACCTGCTTGGCTCTCTTATAAACTACTGGAGGAACACTGTAAAATATAGTTTTAAAAAAAATAATGTTAAGACATCAACATTGAAAAAGTGTCAAAAGGCCCAAGCTAATAAATGGCTAGTCAAAGAAAAACCTCATCCCACAAGATTTGATTATTGATTTTAGATGTTCCACACGTTTCCCATATGCAGGAGCTGCTACTTCTTTCTTCTGCATTTCACGAAGAAGATGAAATTCAGGCAACCAAATTGTGGCAAACACAATATTTAGAACAGAAAAAGGGAAATAGAATAAAAAAAAAATATAACCTTCACAGGTTTTTCAGCAGAGGATTGAGATTGATCATCTTCAGATGCATTTCCACCAGCTTCTGCATCATTATTTTCCTCTGATGTTTCTGCTAGCTTGATCTGCTTCTGGCTAGACACCTTGGTCTCCTTTGCAGGTCTTTTAGCCTTCCTGGGCTCTTCAGATTTCTGAATTTTTCTTTTGGGGGCAACTTTCTTTTTTGATTTTACTTCATCTTCTATCTCCTCACTTTTGCCATCTAACGAATCAGAACTTCCTCCACTGCTGACCTTTTTTGATGCTTTGCTAAGAATTTTTTTCTCAGAAGTTTTCTTCTTCACATCACTTGCAGGTTCAGAAACTTTAAGGGATTTTAATACCTAATAGACAACAAAGTAAATCAACACAAGGTCATTTTACATGCCATTTCAACCACAAAGAACATGTCATGAACAAGTTTCACTCACCTCATCTACTTGCTCACTTATAAACTTCTTGAAGGGATAAAGAGTATTTTTCTCAAGCTCAAGATCTTCCTCCAGAAGTTGACGAACTCCAGCCATCGTAATTTTACTGGGGAAAAAAAGAATTCAAAAAACAAACAAATAAAAAACAAACTTGTTTCATTGACCAGAACCACACAACTAAGAATTTCATAGGAAACTTACATAATTGAAAAAGATGATGAATACGGAAGTATAGTGACATATAAGTAAAACTGAAGCAACAACAGGAGCAGCAGCAATAAAAATAATAGCCACCACCACAACAACAATAACAATACAAATAACTAATAGTATAACTAATTCAAAGAATGATAACATACTCAGAATTAGCTTTTAGGTAAGAAGCTCTTTTTTTAACAGCCTCTTTTATTGTGCCCTCACTTGGAACTTCTTTCTTTTCAACGGCTCGAGTTTCCTTAGTTTGAACTTTGCTTTTTTTATGTTCTGTTAGAAGGCCCATTACTGGAGAGTCTTCCATTTTATCTTCGTCTTCAGAGCTAGATTCCTCCACATCTTTCTTCATTTCCTCTTTTTCAGGTGACTTTGCCACTTCTCCTTTACTTGAAGCATCATTTTTCTCCACCGTCTCAGCTAAACTCTTAGACCCATTGTCACCATCGACATTCAAACACTAGAATGTAGATCAAGGAATAAACATTAAATAAATTGCTCATAATTTTCATAAAAAATGAAGAAATAATTATAGAACCATTTATATTTAAAAAGTACCAAAGTAGTAAATTTTCACATTCGGCTGCATCAAAATAATAAAGGATCTAGAAGAAAAGGAAGAATTGTGTCAAAGGCTTCAACTTCCTAAAACATTAAAGACAAAAAATAAGCAAAATCAATAGTCACCGTAATTTCTAAAGTTACACAGAAGATTCATCTTAATCAATAAATTCCAGCAAATAAACTTTCTGGGATGATAAAATGATTAATGACTAGGGGTTGTTTGGGGTGTCCTAAATAAATATATTTTTTGTCTTTTTGGACTAAAAAGTTGAGGAAAAAAATATGAATGTTTGGGTTAACTTTTTGACTTTTTACGAAAAAATGTGCATTAAAAAATTGTATAAATAAGTGTGTAGAGAAGTTAATAGGGGTAGGCCGTACAGTTGGCAGTGTGGTGTGCTGGTGAGGGGATGAGAAATAATTGTCTCCTTTTCAGGCTTGAATCTGACGGTGTTGTTCGGCCTGTAGGACCCACCACGGGTCCCGTTTTACTAATCGGAACCGGTCAATGTGTAGAACTAGTCGAATACTATATGCTCGTAAAAAATCATGTTGATCGGATATTGATAGCTATTTGATCGTGTTAGCTTTTTTGTCAACTGTTAATTATAACACCATCCACTTTTTATACAAAACTGATTTGATCATATAGTTAGTGATATCCGATCAACGTGATTTTTTAAAGGCATATAGTACTCGACGAGTTCTACACATTGAACGATTCAAATTATCAGAACGAGACCCGTGATGGCCCCCACAGGCCGCACAGCATCATTCTTAAACTTGCCTCCACCTATGTAACTTGTTCTCAAAGTCTGCACCAGGCAACTCGCGTCAGTGCTGTTTGTACCGTTTTTTTGTATAAAAATAATTTTTTTTAGTGAATAGTGATAACTTTTTAACTTTTTTTGTAACTTTTTGTCTTTTTATCTTTTTTGAAAGATCCCAAACTTGCCCTAAATTATTCTCTAAAATCAATGAATTGCAAAGCTTTGGATGGAATATTATTTGAAGTCAGGGCATACACACTTTATGGTTGCTTACAAGGTTCATGACCCCATGCTATGTTTTGGTAGTCAATCCAACATTAGCAATAGAGTCAAGGGCCTGTGCTAAAATAAAAGAATGTTTCCCTCATAGAAAAAGATTATAAGCCTCCAATCTTCAATAAAAACCATTAACTTGAGAGAGGAATTGGTTTGTTACTAAGCCAAGTCAAAATCAATGTCATCATAAATAGTGCCTCATACTCTCTAACTATATGCGTCAAGTTTACCACCATTAACTAGGCTGGTTAAGTGCATGCTTTTTTCAAATGGTAAACAAAAAACATTAATTCCAATTATCTAGAGTAGAGACACAAAAAGGACACAATCCATGATCATGGAAACAATACAGCAGATGCACAAAAACAAAGCTCCCATCCAAAACTTAAATCACCTCAAAATTTAGAACAAAACAAAAAAATAAAAAATTTGAGCAACCCCCTTAAACCAAAAATTAAGGGAATAGAGCAAAACACTCTTGCCTCTACATGTTGGCATCTCAAGCTTTTCAATGGTCCACCTATTTCTCTCCCTCCATATCCTCCACACAAGGTAAAGAGGGGCCCAAATTGGCTTGGCCCTTTTCTGGGTAGAACACGCTATAACAGCTTTAAGTAATAGCCAAGTAGGGCATTTTATTAAATAACAAAATAGGGAAGGCCCAATGATTTCCAAAGATAAAGATAATCAAATTCCACAGGTCTCTGACAGCCATACTGTGTGATAACAATTGACTAAAAGTTTCCTACATCTTCCCACACATACAATACCAATTGAGAAGCATCTTCTTCCCCCATGCAAACAAATTAAATTATAAATAGTCAAAACAGCCTCTGAAGCAATCAGATTATTTCCTGACCAGACTTCAAACTGACATCAACCTCTAGAAATTGATGCCAAACTGCTGGGGATGCCAACTACAGGTAAGAGACTGAGATTGTTTAATAAAACTGAAAATTTTAGAGCTTGTTCAGTAAAATTATATTTAACAATGAACTTGTCACTTAAATTTAATTTCAGAATCACCTTCTACTAAGCATTTTCAGTGGCAAGTGATATGTCAAGTTTCTCTAGCTAAAAATTCAGGCCCTATTCAAGTGCTTATTTTCACGTTGTAACTAACTATCTTTAATTTTATATTTTTTGTAACTAATTATGCATTTTGAAAAGCACTTAACTACCGTACCATCAGTTGCCAGCAGAAAAACATAACTACCATAATTTTATTTGTGCAGTCTGAACTGTGAGCTTAAATAGCCAAGAAGAAACAGTACACAAGCTTGAGGACAAGATATGAACATAAAGACTGCGTGCCCCCAAGTGGGTATGTTCTTGGATTGATCACCAGATGGTGTTTTGCATTTTAGGGGTTCTCTTCAGTCATGTATTACTTTGTCACTCAGAGATTTTGATTGCTATTGATTCCTGGAATCCTTTTGGTCAAGTTGCAACCTCATTTTCTGGCTGAAAAAACCTTATGAATGAGGAAGTTTTTACTGAGTGTGCCACTTGATTTCAAAGACAACTAGCCAGATGTGGTTGTCTATGAGGTCACCAACGACGGTGCTCAGAGGTGGGGGTGGCTGCAGGTGGTGACTGGTGGTTGTAATGAGAGGTGGGTGGAGCCCAAAGGGGCCAACTTTTTTGTGGTTACAAGAATTTAGTAATTTTTGTGAACTATTTACAAGTTTTAGAAAACAAAAATAGACATCAAATGAGTTTTTGTTTACAATTTTCAAAAATTTTGTAAATTTAAACAAAAAAAACTACAAACATAAACGTTACCAAATACAAATAAAACTCCTAATTAAACTATATTTAAAAATGAATAAATATAAATAGTATTTGAATCCCATACTAAAATTACATGGGTCCATCTTGCCATCTTACTATGACATAACTATTTAAGATTTAAGGTTATTTTTAATTGTTGGATTAAGTTGAATATGATAAGTATAATGAGATGGAGTCATATTATTTCACAGGATAAAATTAGGTTAGAAATATCAGATAAACTATGTACTTAGGATATGCCAAAATTAGTGTGCACACATTCCCCATCAACAAGGCTGCAAGCATTAAAGTTAAACGTCACAACGCAGTCTTCATATATATTCAATCACATCCTTGCAAAACCGATACTTAACAATATGAAAACAATAATAATTTTATACTTAACAATATGAAAACAATAATAATTTTACTTTAAGCACAAGAAGCTAGGAATGAGTAAACTGAAATGGTAGCTTTTTACTACCCACTGTAAAATATCCTAATGAAGAGCAGAAGTATCAGTATTCTGAAGCCAAATGCTCTTGGATGGGTGGTTGATAAAGGGGATAAAAAAGTCAATTGCTTTCTTTACCACTGTTTGCATATCATGCTTCTAAACTAGCCCTGATTTTTCAGTCAGCCAAATCAAACAATCAACATAAATGCTAAATGTTTACAATTGTGCAAGTAATCAAGATTCATCAACTCTTTGGAATTCGGTAAATGTCACTTAATACTCAGAGAAAAGGCAATGGAAGGAACCTGAAACAACAAAATGCTCCACTACCCAACTGAGGGTGAAGTTAGTTAGTTGTGAAGTAATTAGAAATTAAAGAAAGTTTCTTAGTATATCTTGCATGGAGACCAAGTTTAGTATAACTATTTATATACACATGTAATGAAGATTTCTAGGAAAGAATTGGTGAATAAAATTCAGATAGTCTTTTTTTTTCTTTTTTTCTTTTTTGTTACTCTTCTTTTCTCTTCATATGAAGGACTGGTTTTAGCCCCATAGCAAGTGATATTTAAGCCACAGAACCCTATTTTAAAATCAGATTTTGCAACGTCCACCCTTGATCTGAGTGGATTCCCCACTTCACTACATCAAATGTCTGATATGATTGACCTGGAATTGACAAATAAAGATTTAGAGGGAACATAGATCATACAATGTATCCATGAAGGGACACCTCAGTGGCTGATGAACTACACTCCCAAATAAGTGACTCAAGTTGCAATTTTCATACAGCTATTTGAAGAAACTATGTGAACAAGTTTAAACAAAGCAACTACAAACACAATCCAACTCATGAAATGCACGTGTTATTCACATAAAATGCAGACAAGTTCTTAACTCCAGGGAAGTACCTCCAACAAACATTGCTTGATAAATCTCTTATGTACATCCAATGCATAAGTCTCTAATCCCAAGTCCTTCTCTAATAACCTCCGAACACCCTCAAAAGTCAAGGAACTGCATCCAGAAACAAACCAAAATAATTAAACAGTATTTCAGTAAATACAGACATACTCAGAGCCTTCACTCTATCAACAAATGATTGGTCAAAGCATAGAAAATTACATGAGCTGACTCAAGATCATGAAAATATACATATATATATATAATGTACAAATAACAATTCTTCATATAAAATAGTGACAAATGCAAAGGATTAATACAACAAAAAGAACCAAAAATAAAAATGCAAATCTAGATGATAAAGATCTTTTATTAAGATATAAATCAAATTTAAAGGACTAAGAGGAGTTGGAAACAAGAAAGCTTGAGATTATAACTGAACAAGCAACAAACCACAATACAATCCTTTTTTAAGGACAAACGTTGAACGTTTTAGCAGACAATGGATAAAGTTTGCCAAGACTTTGCACAGATGATAAGAGTCAATTAACAAGAAAGCCAAAAAAAAAAAAGAACACGCTATTCTACAAAGGAAAATAATTGGTTAAAGAAGAAAATAAAAATGACAAAACGGTGATACTTTTTTCTTTTCCATAATACTGTTTGGTAACGTTTTTATTTTGTTTTCTGTTTTTGTTTTCAACACAATGAAAATTGGAAAGAAAAACAAGTTTGGCAATCGTTTTCACTTTCCAAAAAATGGTAAAAGTTTTCAAAATTTCCAACATTTTAGGAAACAAAAAATAAAAAATGTTTTCTCTTGGTTTGAAAAAGAGTTTTCATTCCCTCCACCGCAATATGTCTTCTTCTTTTCTTTTCTTTTCTTTTTTCTTTTGAGTGTTTTAAAAGAAAAGACTTTCTCAGGTTTTCCCCTAACCCCACCTCCAGTGAGACTAGGGGTAAAACCCCTTTTATATGCAACCACCTGCTAGCCTCACATACCAAGCTAAGTAGGGACTCAAACTTAAAACCTCCTGGTTGTTTAGCTAGGGACTTTCCATTCGAGAGCTAGAACTCAAGGATTCATTTTGTGATATGTGGCTTCAAGAACGGAAGTCTGTTGGGAATTTGAGGATGCGGTGAAAGTTTTTATACGTTTGTGGTTATGGGTAACCAAGTTAAAATCTTTTGCAAAGAATCTAAATTTGGAAAAAGTTAGTTCTTGGCAAGTTTTTAGGAAGGAAATAAGCAAATAGTATTGGATAAGATTGGAACAATGAAACTTTTAGCATTCAAGAGAGGTGAGTGAGACCAAGAGGTGAGTTTACGAGGTTGATAGGAGCTAGAAAGATTTATTAGAGGTCAATACAAAAGCAGAGAAAAATCAAAATTTGAACAATGACAGAGAAAAATAAAGAGATTGGTGGGATGATGCTAGAAGAGTGCGTAAGCACATAACTCTATGTAGAAAAGAGATGTTAAAAGAGCTTTTGAGCACTAGTGCACTACGGTAGGTAATAAGAAGCAACTAACAAGGAAATTTTTCCAAAACAAGTATAGAAGAAAAAAAATTGGTTAGACAAATACATATTTTTGAGTTTCAAGTTTCAACCGACAACAACGATAGGTGTTGGAAAGTACTGTTTCAAAACAATGCAATAATTTTATGAGTTGTGATTTCTAGACAAGTATGGATGCAACTTCCAATTTAAACAAATTTGAAAAGGAAAGGTGGAGAAATTAGTGATCCAAACTAATTAGTTTCCGTAAGGATTAACTACAAGATAATTGCAATGATGCCTTCTTTTAAGACCCCTTTCATTTAGTTAAGAGAGCTTTGAGGAGATCATTTGAAAAAGTGTTAATTGGTGGTATCCTAAAACTCACAAGCATAGTTGCGATCATAAGATTTTTAGCTTAGAGGTCATGAGCAAATATTTTTCCATTTTATTCTTTATTGTTTTAAGGTAATATCCAAACAAGGGATATGCCCATGCTAGCATAAGCTATAACCAATAAACAATTGAAAAATAACAAGGAATTGGTAACAAAATTTGGGATGTGGGATAAATATACATCTTAGAAGGAGAGAAAAAAGTTGCTTGGGATTCTTTGATTGCAATGTCTCATAAGGTAGAAGACATACTTGGGTCAAGAAGTTGTTCCATATTCTACACACCCACTTTATCCACACTTTTCTTAGTTCTTCATTTGTGGCACTCAAAACTAAGGAAAAGATTTAGAAAACCTTCAACTAGAGACGAAGAGGAATGAGTCTTGAATAATTTTTTTGATCAAAACTTATCCCCAAAAAAAATTAAATTTTTTTATCAACAAGCGAAAGTGCGATTTTATTAAAGAAAAGGAAGAGAAAGAAGAATGTACAATGGGAAACAAGTAGTCCTCGAAAAAAAAAAAAAAAACACTCAAAATTGCATATCACACACCGTTCTCCAATATCTCAGGGTCGAGACATGAAGACAAAATGGCGTACATTTTGAGCTTTTTAACCTTGTTGGTCATAAACATATGTAGGGGACAAGTGGAGAATTTTAATTCTAGGCCCTGTGAGAATGGGATAACCAAAAAAAAAGAGAGAGTTTGAGAGTGGGTGCTTCAACTAGGCCCAGGAACATGAATTTCTCCTATAAGCTACAACAATCATCAAGACCACTAAAATGATGTTATTTACCTTTGTAGTACTCCTAGATGCAAAGAACCACTACTAGGCTACAAGGTCCAAAGAAAAAAAAACACAGCTAACCTACAAGTCTGTAACACTAGGGCTACATCTCGGGCTTGTACAACATCATTAGGGAACAACCATCAATGTGAAAAGGGAACTGCAGATGACAGACACAACACACATCTACAGATGATGTCAGATTATATATATTGGTGCAAGTTTTGTCTCTTTGGAAAAATAACCTCAAAAATAATTGATTTGATGGGTTCTATAGGGCTTAGTATCTCATATTAGATTCAATCTTTCGACAATCATCTGCAACACAATAATAGTGTTTGAGATGCAAGTTCACGTGGTATACCCCTTTAAGGGCCATGTATCACTAAATAGAAGCTTCCACGTGGCACACTACAGTCAAAATCACTTTTCATAAGTTTTCTTCTTCTTCTTTTTTTTTTTTTTTTTTTTGATGAATATCAGAAGTTTTCTTCTTCACACCACTTTTGAGAACTTAAACTTAATACGTAATCCTTTACCCATAGTTATACTTGAGGAAATGTGCTAGGAAATTCTGATAAAAGTTGAATTACGTGTCATCACCAGCTTGGGTACAGTAAACATGCCATACCATAAAGAAGCGCAGGGCTTGTGGCCTATGCATGCACATTTTAATGTGGAAGGTTCGCACAAAGCAAGTGTCTGTCTACTAATTTCCCAAATCCTAACTACATTTTTTTTTCTTTCTACCATACCCAATCCAAATAAACTTATTTGTATTGGTTTAAACAGCTTTGCTGCAGAACTCTAATACTAATATCTCTGACCCAAAACTACCATTTCCGATTTGCTTGGTGTTTTCCCTATTTTGGTTTAAACAACTCAGCTGCAAATAATCAATCACTCTCTCTCTCTCTCTCTCGAACACATGTAGAAACACTCCGAATTATATCTACGGAAATATACCAAACTGATTGAAAAATTCTGTTTGATCTGTATCTGCCTCATAACCCACAAAAATTCAATGTTCTCGGAGTACAAAAAATTAAAACTTTAACCTAAACAAAACTAACACAAAAACACATAAAAAATAAAGACAGAGATAAAATAGATGAAAACCCTGGGCAAATTGAAAACCGAAAAAGAAAAGGACTGATATGATTGAACATGTGTATGTATCCATTGATATGAATGTATATATCGAGAATTGAAATTACGTAATAGTTGAAGAGAGAGAGAGAGAAGAATACTCGGCTTGCTCCTTGAAATGGCGAACGCGAGAGACCATGGCAAGCTTTATCTGGGACTCCGTATGGCCTTCCTTGGCCTCCACCTCCTTGGTCTCTTCTGTGACGGCGGAGCCACCGTGAGACTCCTCCACCTCCGCCATTTTTTGTACTCCAAAAAAATTCCAACTCCACCCACCGAATCTCTCTCTGCGACGGTGCCGTGCTGTGCTGTGAGTAGGAGACTTTAATACACCCTAAAACCTCCGAATAGAGGACAGAGTGTTCTCTTCTCTCTCTCTCTCTCTCTCTCCTTTCGCTCTCTCTTATTAGGAGTCCATCTGATGACAAATAGGGACACGGGTCCGTGCCCGGGTAAAACGGATCCGGGCATTTGGCCTTATTTTTTATTTTTTGCTTTTATTTTAATATTTCAAAATAAAATATAAAAAATTACTATTATCATTTTTATATTATATTCAATTTTTACAAATATATTTTTCATAAATTTATAAAATACTAAAAGGTATTTTTTTTAATGGATTGTTTTTTAAGAAAAGTAAAAACAATTTTCATAAATGATGATACAACGGGTTCAGATTGAACGGGTCGGGGCTGATCCACACTTCCCAAACCGGTGTCCAAGTGATCAAGCCCACGGGGGAACCTGCACAAGAGTTCAACGGGGAACGGGAGTCCCCCAACGAACCCTCCAACGAGTTAGAGAAAGAAGTGGAATGTGTAAATAGATTAGAGATAGCAAAGCTTAACCTTCTTCCTGTCTTCGACGTTTGCTTATATCCTCTGGTAATCATTTCGTTATCCCTTCCGACCTGTCACCTTGGCCGAAAGTCTATGCTCTAGCTTGCCTTGTTCATGGTGAAGCCGTTCTGTCTCGACGGAGAGGAGTTGTCGCAATAAATGCTGTAAGGGGCTTCATTAATGGCGATGTGCAGTGGCAATAACTTTGCAGATCTTCATTTGCTTATGTGGCTTGCCCTTCTCTTGACATGTGTCTTGGTGTCATTGGTTCTACTGCGCCTTAGTATTTGAGTTGTGTATTGAGCCCTAAATGGTGGGCTATAATCTTTTTGGACTTACTCATGTCAGTAGTCCCCCATTTCCAAATGTAGCTTTAGTCCAATGAAGGGGATAATTAAGAAAATAAGGGTTGTGAGAGACCGGCAGGGTGAAGGTCGACCGAGAGGAGTGACCAACCATAAGGAGGGCGGACCGCGAAGGGTGGCCGAGTGGAAGGAGCGATCATGAGGAGGGCCGACCGCGAAGGGTGGCCGAGTGGAGGGACCGATCATGAGGAGGGCCGACCACGAAAGGTGGGTGAGTGGAGGGACCGATCACGAGGAGGGCCGACCGCGAAGGGTGGGTGATGTGGCGCAGGGCTCGAGAGGCAGCGTGGTACGTATTTGAAGTGAAGTGGAATAGACAAGAAAGGGAAAAGGGGTAGTGGATTGTGGTCGTACACATGGCCGAATCTCGTAGTGGGGGAGGTTAGGCGTTAGGCAAGAAGTGAAACGATAGGTCATTATAGGGTGTTGAAAAGACAGTTTTGGCGAATTTTTAAAAATTTTCAAACTGGCAAAAATTAATTGTGACCCTTGGAATACAGGCAAGCCGTGGGTCTTTGGTATTATTCGCTTTACCTACCTTTTTACAAAAAATCAAAACATTCCAAGTATAAACTCTTTTGTTGCTAGCGATACACCCCTGCAACACTTTGTGAATTTTCTTGTGCCTGCATCCGAAGCTATTCGCAGACACACAAGAGAGATGGCCTAAGAGGAAGCAACAAACGCAAGGGTTGATCCACTAGGCGACGACGATATGGTGGGTTTGGTAGAACAATATCGTACGGAGCGTAGGAGGGAGGGAGTGAGTCAAGCGATGCGGGCTTACCCCAGGACAATAATCTCGGCCGCGAGGCCTATCAGTCAGGTGGAGCCAGACCATTGGCACACCAAACCAGATAGATCCGTACTGATAGCAAAGGAGTTTGAGGGAATAAGGAAGAAGTACCAAATACCCCTCGGAGATAGGGCTAAGATTGCCCACAACCACGGAAAGGGCATCAGATGTGCGGCTGGGCGAATTTAGCCTCTACGAAGAAGCATTGCGAGGAGGGTTGAGGCTACCCCTCCCTCAGGTTGTGGTGGATGTGCTAAGTAAGCTAGAGGTAGCGCCAGGGCAACTGATGCCGAACGCCTGGAAGATAGTAATGGCGTACGCGAGTGATTGGCCGCAGGCGACCGGAGGGACGGGGATGACAGTAGAGGAGTTTTTCTCCTACTACAAGGCCTCCAGTCAACAGGAGACCTGGGTGACGTTGCAAGCGATGGCAGGGAGAGGTCTGGTGGCAGGTCTTCCATTGTCGGTGAAGGGGTGGAGACCGAGATGGTTCTTTGTGATGGAGAATGGTGGGGCTGGGGCGGGCACCACGTGGAAGGTCCCCACCAAATCTATAGCGATCCCGATATTCCCTGTTGTTATTGAACCGTAATCCGGACTCGGTTCCGTAGATTTGTTGTTGTTGTCTCGTTCTCTTTTCTGTCCCTTACTCTGTATCTTAAAGTTTTGGGTTGTGTTGGACTTGTTGGGTTATGTTGGTTGTGTTTTAAAACCTAAAATCTTTGCCCAATTTTTGACCTCTCCGCTCGAGCGGGGGTTTCGGCGCTCGAGCGGGAAAATCATCTTCCCAGTATTTCCTATGTAGTGTTGAACGCTCGAGCGTGAGGTTTGACGCTCGAGCGGGAGTTTGGGTGAGACGCTCGAGCGGGGAGTTGGACGCTCGAGCAGGGGCCTGTTCTGCAAAACTTCTGGATGGTTGTATCCGCCGCTCGAGCGGGGTTTTTGGCGCTCGAGCGGGAGTCTGTGAGTGAGGCTCGAGCGGGGGTTTCCACACTCGAGCGGGGCGACCTGTATAACACACCGAGATTCAGCTTTTTGAATCACTTTTTGATTTCCTTTCTCTCTCTTACTTTTTCGAAAAAGCCATTGGAGAGCACCTCACTCTAAAACCTAACTTCTCTCTTAGGATTGATCTAGCTAGAGTGTTTTCCTCACCTTGGGTCTTTGTAAGAAGTGTGTTGATCGTCGAGGGCTTCGTTGTGATCCAAGAAATTTGGGATTTGGAGCACTTTGATTTCGGGTCATCTTCTCCATTTGAGTTCTCCATTTGAGGTAGGGATTCTCCTTGTTCTTTTTCAATACTTCATCTATAGATAGACATGTGGTAGTTTTGTATTGCATGAAAATCATACATATGTTGGGTTTGTTTGAAAATCATGAGGGAACCTAGAGTTGGTTGATTAAAAATGGATTTATTGTCTTTGGGTGTTCATTGGATTATTTGTGGCGTGAAATAGCATGTTGTGGTTGAAATATAGAAAAAAAACCCTAACTTAATGATTATGATTTAATTTGCATAATTAGTTTGGAAGGTTATGGAAGGAATGGAATTGATTTTGGAAAAATGAGAAAAGTGTTTTTGGAATAAGTTGTGGGACATATTAATTTGGAAAATTATGAAAGTTGATTTTGAAAGTGAAGAACGAAACTTTAATTCTATGTGAGTCATAGAAAATAAATATGGGAATTGAATTGTCGTGTATGCATTATACCATTGTTAATGGAACATCGTATGTGATGAATTGTTGAGATACATTAGATATGTATGCTTGCTTGGGAAGAGGTAGTTATGTGTTCATATACTTTAACACATTGTTTGTATCTGGATGGTTTATGTATATGTGTTATACATGTTAGTTGTGCCTTGTTGCATTTGGTTGGTTGGTGTTATACCCTGCGCTAATAATCAAAGGTACCGTTACCTTCCAGCTAGCGCCTGGAGAACTGTCTGCGCTAATAATCGAAGGTACCATGCCCCTCCAGCTAGCGCCTGGTAAACTGGCTTGCTGCGCTAATAATCGAAGGTACCATACCCCTCCAGCTAGCGCCTGGTAAACTGGCTTGTTGTTGTAAAAGGTGTATTGTTGGCTTACTACGCACATAGTTAGTAAAGCGAAGTTGGTTGTTGTTGTTTCGTTGTAACTGAAAATATCATGGATTTTGATTGGTTACAGTTCGGAGGACCGAGTTACTCCATTGGTTGATTGTATACATGTTGGTGGGTTGTAAATTTATATTTTTTACAAAGATGTGCATGTATAGTTATGATAGTAATGGAAGCGAACCAAAATGTCTTTTTGTCTTTCGGAAAGTGTGGAGGAGAACGTATGTTTTAAAGATAAACATGTTTGAAAAGGTACATCTGAGTATGTATAGGAAATGGAAGAGAGTATCGGGCTTAGTGTGATTACTTCCTAAGTATTTGTTAATGTTATGACAGATTGGGAACGGGGGTTAATGAAAGGAAAAAGGAAAGACAAACCACTTGTAGCGTTGAATGAAACAGTTGTTTTCGAGAAAAGTTCATACATATATATTTTGTATAAACTGTCACATTACTATTCTAGTATGAGAATGAGTGTTCATGATCATAGCTATCTGTAAGTTGTTATTGTTAAGGATCCAACCTATAGCGATCCCGGTATTCCCTGTTGTTATTGAACTGTAATCCGGACTTGGTCCCATAGATTTGTTGTTGTCTTATCCTCTTTTCTGTCCCTTACTCTTTATCTTAGAGTTTTGGATTGTGTTGGACTTGTTGGGAATAAGTTGGTTGTGTTTTAAAACTTAGAATCTTTGCCCAGTTTTTGGCCTCTCCGCTCGAGCGG